AGGACAAAGCCGTTCGGTTTCCAAGAAACACACAAAAAGTTTAATTGAAAAGCAAAAAGGCAAAGATTCCTCACAAAACAAAACACTTAATAAACAGTTGACTGGACATGACGAAACACATCTGTAAACACCCAACAAGAACGTTCAAAGTCAGTAACTAAACCTAACGTTCGAAAGGGGCTGAGTGATGGGAGTAGCGCAAGAGTATCGGTGCAGTCTCACCCACAAGTTGGTTTTCGGCGGTGATGAGAAACCGGAACGCCGTGACTCCTGCGTCAATGCGTGGGCTGGACGAGGACGAGGGAACGCTGGCTGCTGGCGACCCGTCGAAAAGCCCTACCAAATCGTGATGGTTTCGGCTTGAGGAGCGTGGACACGTCGGAGACGGGAGAACGCAGGCTGGTGGCGACGCGTCCGGGAACTAGGGTCGACCTAGTCAAGCAGCTGGGCGCACAGCTCGGGCCCGGAGCCCGACGGCTGTAGCTCGCCTGCCGGAACCAAAGTCCGCAGGCCCTGGAAAGGAGTTCAGGACCGGATGGCCACGGTCCTTTGGAGCGGGAACCCGACAGCAGGAGGCCCCGGCCGGTGGAAGTCCTGTAGGCTCGGGTCCGGAACCCAACGGCCCATCTTCAGCGCCCGGTCCGGTGACGACCTTCCGCTTGCACTGCCTGCCTCGAATTCCCCTTGCTCTGGTCCCCCCAGGCTCCTGCTTCAGCTCTGGCCCACTTGTCTCGTTCTCATTGGAGATACTGCTGTTTCGTGGTGTCAAGCCATTGGGCCTTGAAATCTCCGTGTTCGCTGCCCATTGGATGTTTTACCTTTTGTTTACTTCACGTCCTGCCACGCATCCTCGTGCTTGACGCTCTTTAACGTCGTCATTCTTGTTTAAGCAGCACCGCACGTGCACTCTGGTATTTCTCCTTTTGTTTTTTTTTTTTTTCGTGACGCGCACTTTTCGAAGGCGCGCACTTTGAACGCGCACCACACATCACAGCCCATCGCGCAAGGCGGCCAGAAGGGTCTTTCAACGTGGAGAGCCAGCAAAGCGCGTGGTGATCAGTTACTAGATCGAACGGGCGGCCGTATAAGTACGGCCGGAACTTTCCAAGCGCCCACACCAGAGCCAAACACTCTTTTTCTGTCACGCTGTAATTAGTTTCGGCTTTCGTCAGAGTGTGGCTAGCGTAGGCTACAACGTATTCTGAATAGCCGGGCTTTCGTTGAGCGAGGACCGCGCCTAGCCCGACGTCGCTGGCGTCGGTGTGCACTTCGGTAGGAGCCGTCGGGTCGAAGTGGCGAAGAATAGGTGGGGAAGTGAGCAGACGGCGCAGAGTAGTGAAGGCAACGTCACATGCAGGGGACCAGGAGGTGAGGTTCACGTCACCGCGAAGAAGCTGGGTTAACGGTGATATGATAGATGCAAAATTGCGAACGAAGCGCCGGAAATAAGAGCATAGGCCTACAAAACTGCGAAGTTCTTTCATGGTCGTCGGCTTGGGAAATTCTGCGACTGCTCGAAGTTTTGCTGGGTCTGGTAATACGCCGTGCTTGGACACGATGTGGCCTAGGATGACGAGCTCGCGTGCAGCGAAGCGGCATTTTTTCAGGTTAAGCTGGAGACCGGCGTTGGTCAGGCAACTCAAAACGTGCCTGAGGCGAAGGAGGTGCGTAGGAAAGTCATGGGAGAAAACCACGACATCGTCGAGGTAACAGAGGCACATATTCCATTTGAGGCCACGTAGCGTATTATCCATAAGACGTTCAAACGTGGCAGGCGCGTTACAAAGCCCAAAGGGCATGACGTTAAATTCATATAGTCCGTCTGGTGTAATAAATGCCGTTTTTTGGCGATCGGCTTCTGCCATTGGAACCTGCCAGTAGCCAGACCGCAAATCTAGCGACGAGAAAAATTCCGCTCCGTGAAGGGTGTCAATGGCGTCATCAATGCGCGGCAAAGGATAGACGTCCTTGCGGGTTATCTTATTCAAACGACGATAGTCCACACAAAATCGGATAGATCCGTCTTTCTTACGCACCAGGACGACGGGAGACGCCCAGGGACTGTGAGATGGTCGAATGACGTCTCTACGAAGCATATCTTCGACATGATCGTTGATGACGCGGCGCTCTTCAGCGGAGACACGGTATGGTCTTTGACGCAGTGGCTGGTGTAGGCCGGTGTCAACATGATGTTTGACTTGTGATGTACGGCCCAGTTGAGGTTGCGACACATCGAAAGAACTCCTGAACTCATGCAGAAGATCCAGCAGGTCGGCATGTTCGGTGGGAGTGAGAGTGTCGGCGATGGCGCTGGAAAACGCATCATTGGACGACTCCCTGAGTGCCGACAGTGCTTTTGGGTGGTCGCAGTAGTCGTCCGGGACATCAAACAAAAACGAAGGGTCGAGATCCTGCACGCGGCCGAGACATTCCCCCGCAAGCAATGTGACAGGTGTGGAAAACGGATTGCTTACGAACATGTTGCTTCTTCCGGCGGCAAGGTCAATTGTTGCGAAAGGCAGCGGCAAAGCTCGACGACATTTGAAGATATCGGAAGGCATAAAAAGAACTGTAGCGTCTGTGTAGGCGTTGCATGAAACGGGAACAAGGGCGCAATTTTCAGGCGGAATATCGGTATCTTCATGAACGAGCAACTTCGGCGGCTGATGAGGAGCGTCCAATAATGGGACATCACACAAGGGTGAAAACTCAACTTCGGCGCGTGCGCAGTCTATGACGGCATTGTGGCGGGATAGGAAGTCCCACCCGAGGATGACGTCATGCGAACAGACAGGAAGAACAATAAACTCCACGATGTAAAGAATGCCTTCGATGGAGATTCTTGCAGTACAGGCTGCGAGAGGCGTTACCTGCTGTGCGCTTGCGGTGTGAAGCGACAGTCCGGAAAGCGGCGTCGTTACTTTACGTAATAAACGGCAGAGATTAGCGGCAATAACAGAAACAGCGGCGCCAGTGTCCACAAGGGCGAAAGTACAATAACCTTCAACAGTTACTGCGACCACGTTAGCAGGAGAGGAGCGAGGGCTTAGACAGTTCAAAAACGGCGCAGTTCTTGCCTCTTGAACTGCGTTGCTTAGTTTTCCTGGTCGGAGGGTCCGGGCCGGCGACGCATGGGGGAGGGCGATCGCCGACGAGGAGAGGGTGCGCGTTGCGGCTGGAAGTCAAGGTGGTCAGTAGGCGCATAGCGAGGTGGCGAGACGGGCCCGTATTGGACAAAGGGTTGGCTGCCGGGATGCGACGACCGGGCATAGTTGCCGAACGTCTGAGGTCGACGGCGGCAGTAGCGAGCAACGTGTCCGGGAGTGAAGCAAGTGTAGCAAATCGGTCGGTTATCGGGCGTCCTCCAGGGATTGGCGACTGGTGCTGCCGCCCAAGGTGCAGTATAAGCAGCCGGGTGTGCGGGCTGTGAGCGCGTGGTGTAGTGTGGTTGCGGGAGCCTACGTACAGCATCTGCATATGTGAGTGGCGCGGCTACGGGCTGCATCTCTTGCGAAAAGGCGACAGGAGGAGCCACAGGCTGCGCTGCATACGTTAGGGGCGCGGCCACAGGCTGAACGGCTGGTGGATAGGCGACAGGAGCGCCTACCGGCTGTGCGCCACCCGGGCAGTGACCACGGCTAGGTAGAGGTGGCTCGTAGTGCGCAAGAGGAACAGCTTGTGCAACCTCTTCCGATATAGCAGTGCGAAGTGGGGCAGGTAGACGGGTGGTGGTCTCGTGAGTAAAGGGCACTAGGGAAAGTTGGCGGGCGACTTCCTCACGGACGAAGGCTCGGACTTGCTGAAGCAATGGTGAATTGTCCGGCATGGAGTCGAAACTGGACAGCGACTCACCACCAGGCTTAGGCTGCCTAGTCAGAGTGCGTTGCTTTTTCAACTCGTCGTAGCTCTGACACAAGCTGACGACTTCAGAAACTGTGCTTGGATTCCTTGCCAAGAGCATTTGAAATGCGCCGTCGTCGATGCCCTTCATGATGTTTTTCACCTTGTCAGATTCGGGCATGGTGTCATTCACACGTCGACAAAGGTCGACGACGTCCTCAATATAGCTGGTAAAGGTCTCGCCAGTCTGCTGATAACGGACGCGCAGACGCTGTTCTGCCCTCTGCTTGCGAATAGCCGGCCGACCGAACACTTCAGCACATGACGTCTTGAAGACGCTCCATGTGGGGATGTTGTGTTTGTGGTTATTAAACCACAATTCGGCGACGCCAGTGAGATAAAATATCACGTGGCCCAGCTTGTCGGCTTCATCCCATTTATTGTTGGCGCTCACCAGTTCGTAGTGCTCGAGCCAGTCTTCGACGTCGGTCCCATCTGCACCGCTGAAGACCTTCGGCTCCCGTAGCGTAGGATGGCCAGGGCAGTTGAACTGGAGCGGAGGCGTCGATGTAGTGGCGTTGGCAGTCATGACAGGTGGTAGCGTGCGGCTTCGCAGCTCCAGGGTGTAGCGATGGGGATTAACAGCACCTTCCACCAAATGTGAGGAGGTTTATTAGTCGTTAAAGACAGCGACGAGACAGCGTGAACAACCGTCCAGCGATCGGCACAGCAACGAACCGAAGCACGAGCCGAGAGAGCCGGGCGTTGGCGATGCTGCTCGCTGCAGGCACATCTTCTTCTTCACAACTTAATAATTTTACCTTTTGAACGACTCATTCGGCACTCACGTTTGAATTTACCGCTGAGGCCGCTAAGAATCACAAAATACGTAGCGCAGCCGCAACGCTAGCCACAGCCCGAGGATGCCCCCGTGTGTCTGTTTTTTTTTTTTTTTACTCGATGCCGCTGCGCAAATATTTTCAATCAAGTGTTTATTCCACCCGCTTCACTGAACTAGAATACAGAACATTTGCGAATCACTTTTGTCTCAGAGGCTATACTTTTGCGCCTGACTTCATCAGCCATGTTTACTGGCTTAACACATCAAAGCATCCAAATGAAGGCAAAGTCCAATCCAGTCGAAGTCCATTTTCATCGCAGACCGCTAGCGAGCGTAGACCTGGGTCCCGTTATATTTGTGTTGGTTAATTAAGCGGGCTAACTAAACGGCTGCTGCCACGCCCTCACTCTTCCGCCTCTCTCGCTGAAACACGCCGGCGACCAGGGTTCACACGTCGGTTCACACCCGCGTGCTGCAGTACGTCTCGATTCAGTCGCGTGGATTGCCGACGCACTTTTCACCGCATCCCACCGGTTTCCCATCCTCGCCGTAACAACAAGGCGATGGCGTCGCGCGGTCAAACCGAAACGGGCAAGCTGAAGGAGCGCCTAGAAGAGCAACTCGATCGTCTCGTGGCACAGCTGGCCGATCTCGAGGAGTGCCGAGCCGAACTCGACGAGGACGAGTACGAGGACACGAAGCGTGAGACGTTGGAGCAGCTGCGCGAGTTCCAGCAGTCGCTGGCCAAGATCGTGTCGGGAGACATGACATCTGGTAGACCAACTCAGCGGCATGCAGCTCGCCATACAGGTAACCACGTTCGAAACGGATGAGGGATAGCGTTTGTGGGTCGCTCGGCCCACGCACGACCGTCACAGACCCCGGTCCTATGGTTTCGTATACTCTGAATCGAGTGCCGAATCGGTCGATTCGGGCGCCGCCTTTTGAGAAAATATGCGGAGGTTGACGCGGCGGTGACGCCGTGCGTGGTCATAACTGCACGCTCGGTTCATGTGTGCTGTGATGTGAAATATGTTTTTCTTTCGAACCGTAAGCGATCTTTCTGTGCTAATGTAAACATCAGTCGTATATTACACTAGAGGTTCGTCGTTCCTATCTAAAATATGACCTTTGGTTAAAAAGTGATACTAAAGTCTCTGAGCAAATTTTCCAGGTCGTCAAAGTTTCGACTTAGAACCAGCGACGACAGCATCTGAAACACGCAGACGATGTTGACGTCACGGAAATCGGCAAATGTGATTGGATGGAACGTATATGCGAATTCTCTCTGGGTAGAACAGTATTGGTGGCTGTGGTTGGAGCTTGTACTTATTGTTAGGTTTTCACCAGGGCCCTACTTAGGAATATTTTCTCGGGGGAGGGGTTAGGAGGGCTAACTTTGGCAACTGGTCGTTGCTGTGAAGGTGTGTAAATATTTTAGTATCATCCGAAAAATGTAAGCACGAAAAAATTTTCGGGGGGGGGGGGAGGTCAGAACTCCTCTACCCCCCCCCCCCCCACCGCTAGTTACGACATGGTTTCAACACAGTACAGAACCTAGCAGCTACTGGAATGTAGCTAGTATAGGTGTAGCCCACAGAACCAGCTGCTTGATTACTCTTGTAAAGAACGATTCAGACCACGCTGGGGAAACAGTATGTTCAATATTTCAAGGGACGCACTTGTACTTGGAAATCAGTGCATGTCAACGAACTACAGGCGATGCAGATTGATGCAGAGCGTCACTCCACAGTGTGCCCAATAATTCTTAGGCACGAAAGATGACCACAATTTAAGTGAGTGAGGCTCACGTTCTGTTCACTAATAGTTAATACTGTGTAGACAACTGTACAAGATCATCAACATCATGAATACAATGGCATGTGTGATGCACGGTAACTCACATGTCATACCTAACTTTTGGGAAGAGCAAAACGAAAGATTAACCCACACTGCCAACATGAACTCCACTGTCAGTACATTGTATACGGCCACGTCAGTGTTGGACCGCAGCACAGGTGTAAATGGCAGGTCACAGATAATAATATAAAGCAAGCACACTGATACTTATATACAGCACACTGGGGCAGTATTTGCCCAACAACTGAATTAAAAACGGCTCGTCTATTTCTCTGGCTTCCCTCCAAAGGTCACCAGTTCATCAGGTGTGATAAAGGTTTCTGATAATCGATACTAGCAGCAATCACAAGAGAAAGTAAGCCAGAGTTGAAGGCATAACACAGCTATTAGAACAAAATACACGTCTTGATGTTTGCTTCCGTAACAACTGGATTGCCTTGTTTGCTTTTTAATGAGAAATAGCAGGCAATAATGCCAAAAAAAGTATAAAAGACGTTATTTGCAGTAATGATGATACAAATGTGAAAAAGTTGAAAGGATGAAAAAATATCTTACCGCCATTTTTTCACCCTCTTTACTTTTTGAGATTTATATCTATGTATTTAGTCTCACTTCTATGTTATAACGTGTCATATTGATTTGATCACGTCTGCATTTCGCTGTTCAATCATTGAATGTGGCATAACACTCCTCGAAGAATAAGTCACAGTGCAATGCAGAAGGCAGAAATTAGAAGAATAGGACGGAAGTACCAAGTACAGTCCATTTTCCAAGTCGGTTTCACTGCGATTTGTTTTACTATGAATGTTGACCAACTAGCGCAGCTCGCGATTCTTCTTGCCATTAGGCTTACTAGGCGAATTCCAGTGTTTTTGGCACATAGCTACGGTAACCTCAGAAAAATCTCACACTGTCATCCTCGTCCTGGGCTGGGAAACGTGTAATGTGCAGCCCAAACTTTGCCTCATGCATAACCTCAATGATTCTGTTAATCGTTTTTTTTTTTTCTTTTCTTGGTGTTACAGCTTTGCTCTTCAGGTATAATCCTTATTGCATGTCTGTGCATTGCATATTAACGAAGGCTGTGGAATCAATTGAGTACTCATTTTCTTCGTTCTGCACGCCATGAAACGAATGGACAATAAGGCCAAGGAAAGTGTAGGAAAATTTGTGGTGTTCGATTGCAATCTCATAATTATGGTGCGAATATAGAGGAATATAGTGGATGAAAGGACAACTTGCTTTGGGTAATGTGTCTGGTGCTCTACCTCAGAAGCACCAATCAAGTGAACAGGAGGACGACCACCACTGTAGCTCACTTGGTAGAGCATCAGATGCATTGTCCAAAGGTCGTATGTTCAGTCGTTGCCGGTGGCAAGTTGTATTTTCGTCCTCTTAATTTCTTTACATTTATGCCCTAGTTACCACATTACAGGTAGAGGCTACAAATAATGTTTTTGTATGTCGGTTTCATTGTGTATTCCTCATGTGCTGTACTGCGTGTGTTGCATTAGTTAATTTAGCATCCGTCATTTCAAACTGTACATTTTGCTGCAATAACTTTTCGCAGGCAGCCATCAGCGACGCATTCCGGACGCCCGAGGTGATTCGGATGTTCGCAAAGAAGCAGCCTGACCAACTTCGCGAGCGCCTTTCGCAGCTACAGCGGGACGCCAAGATCGGCCGTCTCAGCGAGGACGAGTTGGCGCCGCAGAAGCTCGAGATCCTTGCCGCCCTCAAAAAGCTCAAGGCCAGCCTGCTTCCCGAAGAGGAGCACTACCTCGAGAAGCACGCTAGCAAGGCGCTGCTCGACTTCGACCAGGTCGGCGAGGATGCTGCAGATGCGAGCCGACTGCTTGATGTGGCCGGCTCCCAAGTCAAGGCCGCCGCACAGCGGTGACTTTCGTGTTCATCACATTTTGTCCTCATCAACTGTCCTGTGCGCCCCCGCCTCATGCAGATTTTTGCAAATGAACTTGTTGTTGGGCTAGTTTGTAGATGATTTCAAAATATTAATTTGACTTCAAACACACAATACATTCACGCACACGCACACACCCAGGCATTCAGTGCAGTGTGTGTTTGATGCCTAGGTGTGCCTGAGCGCGAACGTATCATGTGTTTGCGTTCAAATTAATATTTTTGCAACTTCTGAGGCGCTGGTAATGACGGTGTGCCTATTGGCAAAAAAAAAAAAAAACACTGAGACTAAGCATTGGGGCTGTCTCGTATCACGTGGTGTAGCGTTTAGTATATATAAGGGAATTTTGAAATGCTCCGAATGTTCGTGTTTTGCTGGCCACTATACAGGGGCGACTTTCATGTTTGTCATGGTTCGTCCCTTCTATAATGATTTTGTTCCCTACTGTTGCGTATTTTTGCAAGTTTCGAGGTGCAGGTAAGTATGACACACCCTTGGCAAAGCAAACTCCAGGGCTAAGCATTGCAGCTGTCTCGCATCACGTGGCACTGAAGTTGTCCTTCTAGACTGTTTGTGTGTTTAAGTGCACGAGCAGTGTAAAACACTGCTCTTGGTTTGGTATTGGCTTTTGCATATTTTGCAACTTTCGAGGTGCTCATAACGACAATGCACATCTCAACGAAGCTAGCATCAGGGCTAAGTATTGCGGCTCTTCCGCATCATGTGCCATTACAGTTTGTACCTTCTAGACTGCTTGTCTATTGGTCCTGTTGCGTATTATTGCAACTTTCGACTGTGCTGGTAATAAGTGTCTTGGCACAGGAAGTGCCAACGCTAGGAACTGCAGCTGTCTCGCAGTGTGTTTAGTATCTATGAAAGTTTTCCAAATGCACCGTACATCGGAGACTGCCATTCTTGTCACGTCTCAACCCTCTTAAATGTTTGCTTCCAATGCATGGTCCAGTCCGGTGCATTGATTGCAGCTTTTGAGCAGCTTGTAAAGATGGAGTATCAAGACTAAACAGTGCAATATACCCGTCTCATTCAAATATGGTGTTGTGTATAACATAGCGGAATGCCCTAATGTGGTTGCGCGGGTGTGTAATACGTTCCACATCTTTTGTCTCTTTCGGTTTTGTCAGGATGTGAGGTGATGATTTCACTTATTCCCATTTACCACGGAGTGTCTTAATATTACTAGAGGGAGGTCTGGCATCAGTCACCAAACGTGCAAATGAAGAGTCCTATGGAGGTTCGTCCTATTGTCGAAGTTGCGCTTTGTTTTGGCCTAGATGCATACAATACATAAAACGCACACAATGGACACTTACATTTTATTGACTGCAATTGGTATGAAGTCGTATGACAAACTTTCAAAGAATCTGTGTTCTGTTCACTGTTCCCACGTTGTCTAAACCATTACGCTTGTGCCACCTGTAGACAATTAGCACTCCACTTCTGGTTGGCTTTGAGTCTTTCAGGGTTGCTAAGGCCAGTGTTACGTCCATCCCATCCCGTTCAAGCTTCACCATTGCGTGAACAAAAGTTTGTCATGTCACATGTCCATGCAAAAAGATGCAACTGTTGAATCAGTCATGCTTGATCATATTCACTAGGGTACAGTCATGTCCGACCAAGCTTCACAGGAATGTATGAATCGCTTTTTTTTTCTTACAGTGCTATGCATAGTACATCACCAAAGATATACACAGCAAGTTTTTTACCGGAGAGTAGCTTAGGCCAGAATGTTTTTGGCAAGAAACTTCTTAGTAGAGATGCGTCAATATTAAAAAATTTGTAAATTGTTATTTGAATAATGCTACGATTTCTTGCCTTTGTATCAACTAATCAGCGTATATTAACTGAATATTTCTCAAATTGCTTTCGAATAACTTGGTGCACACAATAAAACAAAAGTTACGAAAGGTGCAAAAATATTTCATCCTAGAAATTTCAGTATAGAAACTACGAGAAGCTGTGTAACTGCTGAAAGAGCTCCGCTTGTTAGTACTGACATAAAATTTTCTAATCAACACGCCTGCCATCCTCTGCAAGATATGAATAGTAAATTTATTCAAGAGGGTAGTTAAATTGGCTTTAATGTGTATTCTATGCAAATGAGTGAAAACCGAGCACCTCACCACATCATCGTCAGCTTGGTTTTGACGTAAACAAACGACGAAGTATGTGACATGTTTGCGTTGTTTGCTATGCTCCCTGTTCGTGCTGTCTACCATAGTCATCAGTTGCATGTGCATGTGTTATGTGCATCACTCTTTTGTGTGCTCATGTTTCCAGCTGTTTTTAGAAAACAAAACAATAAAACTAGACACTCAGTCCTACATCTCTCAGCACTCCCAAAAACCAGAACCGCAAGTAGAAACTACAATAGCTTTCCCAAATAATTGATCGCTGTGCACTAGAGCAAATGGTGTTTTGAGTGATAAGTGGTTCGTTAGCTACTCACAGCAACAGAAGTAACAAGATACAAAATCTTCGTGTAGGTGCTCTTATTTATACCATGCCTGTTTTCTACTCCAATCTACACCAATCTTCTGAATTCCTTATTTCATTAAGCTTCTAATAAAGGTATTGTGAATGTTACAACACAAGATTTGTAGCATATGAACACGTGAAGATGATTTTGTGTTAATGATGGCTCTATTTTTTAAATGAAGAGCAATTCAAAAGGTAATTTTTTTTTCTTTGTCCTGACAGTACTCAAAAAGTATTATACAAGTATAGTACAAGCCTTGGTTTGATTGCAGTCAACCTAATTTCAGATTGCATTTTTTACCACTACTGGCTCATTTCTGCAGAGAGCAAAGGCATTTGCAAAATTCAATGCGTATCAATGACATCTGAGGTTTTTCATTCAAAAACCACGATATGATTATGAGAGACATCGTTATGAAGGGCTCCGGAAATTTCGACCATCTGGTGTGCTGGCATCGCACAGTACCCAGGCCTCAACCATTCGGGCTCCATCGAGATGGGACCACCGTGACCAGGGACGAACCCACAACCTGCGGGTCAGCAGCTGAGCACCACAACCACTGTGTCACTGCCGTCGACCCCAGTCCATATCAAGTTCAATTACAATCATATATGGACTGTACAGCATCAGTTTCAGGAATGAGTACGTTTGTGCATCTCTACTAATTAGTCGTTTGCTGAGAGTTTCAAAAGATTTGGTATCACTGTGCAAGGACTATGGACTTCGTTTTGTTCGAGTTGCAGGCCTTGTGAACACCCATTATTCTGTCAGGCTTCAACATACTTGTGTCATAAGTTGCAAATAAACGTCCTGTTCCAAGGAGGCATGTACACTTCTCCAAGACTGCCGCTGCAACCTTTTTCGGAGTGGGAATCCTCATCACAGATCTAGAAGAGTGCATTTACAACACACGGGAGGGGTGGGAGGCGTGCATCAAGATCATTTTCCTGGACAAACATCTGATACTTCACGCATGCACCGTGACCTCCTACAATTCCTAGCATGCTGACGGTAGTGGTGCACTGAACTAGTTGCCAACATTAACTTTTGCATCGTTTCCAGAAAGTGGTTGTTTCCTGACATTAACTTCAATGTTTGTTAGAAGCACACATTTCTTTTTCTTTTTTTAGAATGTGTTCTTGCACAGAGCACGCTGAACATCTGCACTATCTGTGAAAGAGGCTTTTTACAAGGTGGAAACATTGCTGTGGTTTGGCCTAGATATGTTTCAGCTCTGGACCTAATCTTACTAAATGAAGTCACAAACAAAATGTGAGAAAGAAACTTCGTTTTGCAAGTGATAACTTTATAGAGTGCCATTTGGCACCCCTAGTTATGTGGTTGCCAAAGACTAAAAGGTTAGGCCTCAGTTTAAGCTTGCAAGCACACATCGTGTCAATATTATGCTTCCTTACAGTAACGTCAATGAAGCAACATGTTCTAGGTAACCCTAATCTGTTGTCTCATTCCTCTGCGACTGCACATATGAATGAAACGCATAACTGGTATTTAAAACAGTACAGATAACGGAATTTTATTATGAAGCTGCCCAGAAGCTCAAGTACACACCAAAAGTTCACAATAGAAGTGTGAGACATTTTTCAGGCTATTTTTTCTTGCGTGGTGGAAGAACAAGCAGCCTTAGAGCTGAAAGAAGTCGTAGCAAGTACCAGCTTAAAGTAAGCAACGTAGCTCAAGAGAGGGCTTGCCACCTAAACACGTGTTTTAGCCGCCAAAGGACTCGATATGTGAAAGACCGGAGAAGCAAAGCTGCAATTTGACTGATTGAAAACAGCCTCCCCCATTGACAATCTCGACATTTCTAAAGAAGCTGGCAACTGTGTAGCCACTCGTGTAGGCCATGCAAGGCACCAAACAGTGATCACCACTAAGTGATTTTCCAAAACGTGTCTACGCTTCTGAAAAACTCCACGTCATTTGATTTTTATAATTCTTTCTTCAGCGGAAATACCTGATGGCATTACTCCTAATTCTAATTTGATTTTCTAATGCAATCTCTGTACTCCATATGTATGACAAATCACCTTTACAGCAGAACATTTTCCTTTTGTGCCTTTAAGAAAACTTTACCTTGAACTATGGCGTATGCTAATTAAATTCAATTTTGGCATTTCATGCCCAGAACCGCACTGTTGTGAGACCATACTACGAACTCCAGATTACAGACTAACCAAGTTACAGAAATACGGCCCACAAATACAGTACGGCAGTACAGTAGCTCTGAATCTTTTTACTCGTGCCATTGAAGCTACCTGCTTAGTGACAGTGCGTCCCTCTACAATGACCCAACTTTCACGCGTCTGCTACATTTGTGCAAGATAAGGAGTGTTTATACAAAAATTAATGAACTATGTGTAGTCCACGACCTTTTAAACTTGGGGATGTAAAGCGTATGTAATGCAGACGAAACATATGGTCTGCACCACGTCGGCACCTCACAATTCACTTTTCCACGTAAATGTGCTTGCACAACTAAACGTTTGTCGCGCACCGTAGAAGACTGCTTTAGAGAGATGCAAAGGAACATAATGTACTTCTTTTTTTCTATGTGCACCCTGTGCACTGCACACATGTTGCTGCATTACGCTCCCATCAGAGTACAGCCACGGCAACAAACACTATTCCTGCGACCTCAACTGCACCGCTCCAGCAGCCAATACACCATGGCATGCTTCACCATTGCACTATCCCAAGTCAACCCAAGATTCCAGGCTCACAGGAAAAGGTGCAACAAATTTGGCCTTCCCTTGAACAGCGAAAGCTGTTACGAGATCGCAACAAGGATCGCGTGCGCCGTAGTTGTCTGCCGCCGGCGATGCCTGTAACGACTATTGTCGGAAATATGAAAAAAAAAACTAAATAAAAATCTCCAAGGACGCAATGGGATTCGAACTATGGTCCCCTGCGTGCCAGCCCAGTAATCTATCACTGTGTCATGGAAGTTCTTGAGACGCCTGTGCAAACTGGCCTTGGGGCAGGCTCGATTTCAGAAAAGGAGTCTCGTTAATATGAGCAATAACTGGTTATAGAACAGCAAAGGAACAACCAAGTGTCAGGTACTGCAAATTACACAACGAGTGGGTTGTCAAATGCTCCAACTCATTACAAGAGCTTGATCTTGTTCACCTATAAACTGCGGTGCATACCCACTGTGGGAAATGGTGCCGGATTACAAAGGCTTCATGCATAATTCTTCATTATAAGCCAAAGCATGAAAAAAAAAAATTGCACAAAATCCCTTGCTAGCCCTTTCAGCCCTGATTTTTTATTTTGGTCAGATACACTTTTAGTGCGCGTTTTTCTCGTAGTTAGGACCTCAGAAGACCACAAACAAAAAATTGAGCCACTGGTACAAGCATTTTTGGATTAATTAACGTGGCACAAATTAGATAATTTGTGTCCTGTGATTGGAAAATGAAAAAAATGGCTTATTTTTTTCTGCCAATCAATGATGCATGCAAAATGGAAACCAACGTCTTACTTTTCAGCCTAATTCTCACTAAAACAGCTTCGGTACGTCGTCCCGAAAATGGCGCTTACCCGCCTTGACTTGCGCTTCAGGGCTTCAGGGAAGACTTCGGTCACGCTTCTTCTTCTTTGTGGCTGCTACCACCACAAACGTAATATTGGTACCGCAATATTGGTGTCAATTGCAGTGGGGATCACTGAAAAACTATGCCCTCAAGAATGAGCAGTACTGGTAACGTTTTCGAGATACTAGGGGAAAATTTGTGCGGTGGTGTCAATTGACACCGCCAGGGCCGTAAGGGCTAGTCTGAAGCGAGTACCACAGCCCCTCCAAAGAATGACAAAGGATGGCATAGTGAATGCCTGCCTACTACACAATGAATGATGGCGTACTGCAAACGTGCTTGCAGCATCTACCCAAAGAGTGTTAAAAAAAGGCTCTCGAAAGGCTGCTCTTCTAGTTTTCACTGTGACAATGCTGCGCGTTCAGCGCAGGCCTGGTGGTTTTTTACAGCAAAAGCTGGTATGAGACAACAACAGCCAATTTCGATTGCTGTTGTATTACGGATGCCACTGCTGCTGCCGGTGTCTGCAACCATTATCGTCCAAAATTAGGGGGAAAGAAAATGTTCCGGACTGGAAGGGATTTGTAGCTGGGAAATCTGCGTGGCAGATAAGTATGCTACCGCAGAGCCACACCACTGCTTGAAAATTCCCCTCAGAAAGACCCTATCATGAGCAGTGTAAGTAATGACATTTACACGTAATATAGTGTTGTAGAAGAGTAAAATAATAGCCAAACATCGCAGAATGTCAAGTCCAAAATGAATGAGTCGATTGTGCTTCAAACCCATTAAAAAGGAACTCTGCCATACTTTGTTATCAGCCACACAATTAACAAACTGCATAAATGCCTTACAGATGAGTAGCTGCTACCTTGCTACTCTGCAGCATGACGAATAACGGCATTGTGGCAGCTTCTCTATCTCAAAATAATTACGGTTTATGACAAAGTGAATACCTTGCTAGTGTACGGACAGTAGTTGCTCCAAAAGAATTTCACAACAGGTTCTAGATAAGCTACCAGTATTTAGTCTTTCACTGTGACTGTGCTGCAGTGTTCTGCCCAGGCCTGGCAGCTTTTTAGAGCAAAAGCAGTTACAAGATCGCAACAGTGATGCAGTTGACCACTACACCGGCGGTGTCCCTAACTGCCACTGCTCGAAATACGAAACGAAATTTAAAAAAAAAAGAATGTTCAGGAGACTACGAGACTTCAACCCTGGGCCCTCTATGTAAGCCACAATGTGTAATTCAGGTCACCGCATTAACATATGCAATACAGCGTGGTAAAATAGTAAAATAACAATTAGCCGTCGCACAATGCGAATTGTGCAATGAGCGGGCCGACGAACGCTTCGAACCCATTACAAAGAGCTCGGCCATAATTTCTCGTGATTAGCCTCAGCATTACGAAGTGCACGTAATATCTTACAGCTGTGTAGCAGGTACATTGCTGCTTTGCAGAATCGCGAAATATTAGGCACAGTGGGTGCTTTTCTACTTCGCAAACACTTTGACAATCTATGGTGTAGAGTGTGCCATGCAGGTGCACTTGTGTAAGTTGCCCCCAGAGAGTTTACAAAACGCTCTTGAAAAGCCGCTCGTTCAGCTTACACTGTGACTGCGCTGCTTGTTCCATGCAGGCCTAGAATTTTTATTTTACTTTATTTTTTACACTTGTGTATGGTTGAACACTTTTTATTCCCATGGCAAGGCATTGACAAAACATGTTCAACTATAGCCACTGCATTTTTTTGGCTGGATTACAAATTTCAACAGAACAGGCTTGTCAAGTACACCACGTCAGATATTGGAACTGAATCACATCACTGGAATACTTTAAAAAAGACAGAAAGAAGATAACAATACCAGACACATTATTACATATCAATTTGCTGTAAAACAATATAGCCAAGTTTTATTTATTAACTGCTTTTAAGCTATGATCTGAATTGCAGTTTCAATGCAAATTGTCACATTGTAGTTTTGAAAAACTAAGGTTATAAAATTTCCATTCTGCAGAAATCCAGCAGTTAACACCACTTTCAATTAAATATATTCTAATAAATCTGAAATACGCACTTATTATATTAAGCTAGAAAAAAAAAAGCTGCAAGTACTCTCTCTAAACACGCTCTTCAAACAGATTTACAGAAACCACAAAAGCGACATAAAGCTAGCTGCATTAGTTATAGTACACGGTGGGACTTTTATTTGCGCCAAACTGAAACATGCCAAATGCTAGTTTCCTGAAAGGCCCACCTTTGATGTTGCACACTTCAAAAATAAAAAACCCGGGCTTCGGGATAAAAACAAAGCTCTACTAAATAGCATGAGAGGTGTTGCATAGCAAAGAGCTTAACACAGCAGCAAAATGCAAACAAATCCAACCACTTGTGCCTCGCTAACATCAATGCTTCAAGGCGCGCACTACTGTTTGCCTCTCAACAAGAATTTAAAAACATTTCCTAGGTAATGTGCCAAACACCTGTTGTCACAAAAAAGCACACTGGTTGCCTTTCGAACATGTTAAGTTTGCAAGACTCCTGTACATTGCTGTTCGAAGAAAATAAAAAGGGTGGGGGAAGGGACAACTTCAACACCGCATGAAAGGGCCAACATTGGAGCTCACATTGCAGCGATAGTTCACGCATTGTATACACAAAGCTCGTGCACAATTTTGCGCAGCGTCTTTCCCTTTACACTGTGCAGAATAATAATGGGGTCAGTTTCAACTGTTGAAGCACGACGCACTGCACTTCCAAATGCACGTTAACACACCTGCGTTGATCGCAGTCCGCAAAAGTGGCGACAACTCTCAGATGCGGAAAAAAACCCACAACGCTGTCAACATGAACGGCACCAGCTCTAGTCCCGAACCAAGTTATTGGACCAACTTCCACTTACAGAGAGCCTGCTACAAAACTAGCCAGCTGGGGGAAAGACATCCATACGCGAGCATACCCTTTACGCAAGGTATAACTACAGAAAAAAGCCCTTTAAAAACTACCCGTTGTTCCATACCAGAGCGTTTGATGCCTATTGCATAAATATTAAAACCAACACGTTAGATCATGTGAACATCAGTGAAGACTTGTTGGAACCTCATATGCATGGGAATTAGCAAGAACTGCAGAACCGAAACATAACTGTAAAATCCTTGCTGATCTTTTGTTCTCGCTACAATGAGCAGACGGCAGGGGTGAAGGTGCTGTAGAAGAACAAAACGAAAGAAATAACTAAAAAATGCAACAGAAATGATAGCCACTCTCAAGTTACTGTAACGCACACTGAAGCTGGCAGTAAAATACAAATGGGCCCCTCTGTACACCATCGCACCATTGCATGGTTTATTAACTCATAAGCAATCGGAGCATCAATGCGCACTGCCACAAAAAAAGAATGCTCAAGCACCCCCCCTCCCCCCCATTATGCGATACTGAGCCTCCTGGAAACTTGTGCAACAGGAACTTAAAAAGAAAGATGTCGCGTGTAATGTGGCAGAGTATCGGGAATGTTGGGGCCTGAAAGGCCTTCGAGGTTTCACTTGGATCTCGTGCATTCGGAACGACAGCGGGTGCTAAGTGGAAAATGCACCGAGACATCCATGGTCTGTTCTAAGCTGTAAACCACAGGAAAAATTTACAATGATGGGCTCCAAAAAGCTGGCCTTGCAAGGTCGTACATGAGACTACTGAGGTATAACTTCTAAGAACACTGCTTCACATGTGAGCAAGCTTCAGTCAATCGAGACATATGTGCAGTGGACAAAAAAAAGAAAGACCTGCAAGATAAAAGGACAATTCACGCGCTGGGCTCAGTCAGCGCAACAAGAGTCATCTGCACATTATCACACTTTTTGTTGTCCTCATAGCCAACCACACAAGGTGCAACCAAAGGCTTAGTCTGCTTCGTCTGTAGAATTCTCATCCCACGTCACCGTGAATGTCCGTTTGCTTCTCAACCACAAATTATGGCCCGACGAAGATGTACTAGGTTGGTCTTGGACAGCAGCTGCGACAGGTTGGGTGGGTAAAGAAGAGGTGCCGCTCGCTGCTTTAGCCGTCACCGCTGCTGAGCTTTGGGCTGCCGGTGCCCTTGCCCGTTTCCGTCGCATCATGGCCATCCTCCGCTGCAGACGCTGTGTCGCCCTGTCGACACCGGCGTTGTCAGAGTCTGTGTCACTCGCAGTCGACGTGCCAGAGTCACTTGACCAGAACTGGAGCAGACGCTTCTTCCGAGGCACAGGTCTGCATTTCCTGGTGGCGGGGGGCTGTGAGGGTGCCATCGCTGAAGGTGGCGCAACCGTGGGTGGCACTCCAGATCGGCCATCGCCTTCGTCCGACGAAGACAACTCGATGAAGATTGGCGTCCTCGGGCGAATTTGTACAGCAGGTACCGGCACAGCAGGCCCGACCGTGCTCACTATCATGCAGTCCGAGTCATCCGAATCCGTCTCTACCAAGGTGACTGTTGTATTGTGAAGGCCACTGGGGCCTGGAAGGCTGAAGTCCCGGCGCGCTGAAATCCTCAAAGGTGACAGACTGTTGACGAGAGGAGTGGTGTCCTCGGACGAAGAGTCGGGCGACTGCAAAAACTGCGCAGCGGGCGTGCCGCGCGCAACGACGTTTGCCCGCGTGTCGTACACGGCCACTCGATCGTAGGCGACCATGTCGAGTGGGGACGCAACAAATGCGGCCAGCTCGTGCAGAAAGTGTGCCGTTCGAGTGCCAAAGAAGGGCCGCACGTGCTCAGCAAACTCGAGGCAGCACACCTCATAGCGGGTGATGAGCGCGAGCACGAGTTCAGTAGTGAACGTGATCTGTGCCTCACCACTGCCTAGGAGAGCCACGAGTTCACGGTTGAGCCACGGGATGAGACGGTGCGTGCACGCAGGGTTTTCGCGGAAGAATGCCGGTGAGAAGTGGCGTGCCGAGCGCCGGTTGTTTGGCGGGCACACCCACAGGTCCAGCTCGTACAGGCTACGGCGTTCGGTGCTCGATGTGGGCAGGGGACCTGCGTGGGTGATGGTGGCTGGAGCATTGCGGGATGTCGAACGACCCGACCTGAGTGGGAGAAAAAAAATTTACCTCAGAAGATGCTCCCGGCAAAGGTCGTGGCACTAAAGGCTCTGTTACACTCCGCTATTTGATTGCGCGCGTGTGCCAGCGTTTGTTTCATCGTGTCACGCTGACGATGCCACGCCAGGCACAGATCTGCCTGACATATACTTGCAGCGCGCGTCGCGCTACGTTGCCTTGAGGCACTCGCGTTTGAGCGTGCCTAGCATCCCTCCGTCACGAAGAGATGCAGATGCAGTGCTGTCTAGGTAACGTAGTCGGCGCAAAATGCAACATGCTTCATTTCGCGCCCGCTGCAGTCGGGCCGCACTGACAGACGCTGGTCGCGTCGGTCGCGCCTGTTGTCGGACTAGAATGCTCGAGTTTCGCTAGCGTAGCACCGTTGCGCCCAGCACGCGCACGCGTCAACGTTACGTCGGAGCACATATATCAGGCCCTTAAAAAATTAACATTTTTGCAGAGTTAGCTTTGACCAGCATTTTGGCTTGTGTTTCAGGTTGAAGTTCCTTTATTACCAAAATGAGTACAAAGGGTTGCTTGCATACCATATAAATGGCAGTAAGGTCTATTTAGGACGAGTTTTTTAGGCTTACCTAGGTGTCTCCTCTTGCCTTCCACTACGCTTTCACTGCACAGAACTAGCGGCCTTCATTATAGGACCAAAAGAAGAACAGTTTATTTTCCTTGCTCGCCACAGGGGTCTAGTCATGGTGCTTAACAGCTGACCCATAGGGCGAGGAATCGAATCCCGGCCTCAGCGACCACATTTTCGACAAAGGTGAAAATGCTTAAGACCTGTGTAGTACTTAGGTAGATTTAGAGTCTCTGAGCGATTTTTTCGACCAGACGGGGAACGCGGAATAGCCCGAAAAATCGAAAAATCCGAAAAAATGGTCAAGCCGCAAAAATGAAGTTTACCGAGATTAGAAAAAGCCCCCAAAAATTCCCAATAATGCCATGCTCTATGCTGTTCTTGGGGACAAGCAACGTTGGTTTTATTGGGGCTACGGTAACGTCGCTAGTAATCGCATTGGTGCTGCGGCCAATCGTTGCGAGCGGCAATGTTGGTGGCTCCATGTAACCACGCAAGACAAAACTCGATGCCAATCGCAAAAAAGATGCATGCAACTTCTTGGTGCCTGTTTGGTGAAATTGAACAACGCAGTCGGGGCTTCTTTTACATGTGCCGGCATCACACAGTATGTGGGCCTTCAGCATTTCGCCACTATCAGAATGCCGCAGCCGTGATCGAACCCACGTGTTTTAGGAGCATCGTGACCACGGAGTGCTTCTGAGTAATTGTGAACAGCAGGGAGCATGTGACATGCACAAGAGCACACCAATGACACGACCACGTGCGCAATGACAATGAGAAAAACAAATGCCCAGAAAATAAAAACAGCCTGCTGGCATATTAATGATGATGATAAGGCTCACTGAAAAAGAAAAGTTTTGCATGCTTCTGATCTCGGAGGCTAAACTAGTCACCGCAAGCTAAACTCGACCAATACAACGAAAAAATCCAATATGGCAGCTTTTAAAATTGAACTTTGGTACCTAAATTCACCAAAAAAAATCTGTCGCAAAAATGAATTATTGCAATGGGAACCTTGACAGTGCATTTGTGAAGTGCAAAATATCCAACAAGTCCGAATTTTCGGAGTCCCAAAATTTGTCGCCGATTGTATGTGCATGTTAAAGAACCTGAAATGCTAAAAATTTCTGGAACCACCCTTCCGTTGGGTTCGAAGTGCAAGCAGCATTGAAGAAGAAAAGAAAGTGAAGCACTTATGAACGGTACATCTTTATTTAACAGAATAACCACATAGTTTAGCCAGCCAGATCTTGTCACACGCAGTCCACGATGGAGGCCTAAGTGCACTATGGAGGCCTAATTAGAGCCATGCTAGTTAGTCTTCCTTCAACCCTAGTTGTCTTTTACAACTCAAAATACAACTATGACAGAAAATAAGCTCACATGCGCAGTGCTGCTTAATTCTTTCTCTCTCTCAGCAAGGATGAGCTTATAGAGATGTACACACGCACATACACTCTAAAAAGTTTTCCGGAGTAACTACGCAGTTACCGAGAAAAGAGCTCTTTGCTCCTCCAAACGACGAAATGTGCGCAAAAGATTGCACACGGCACTGCAAGAAGGGGTGGTTTCCTCCTTGTAGAGGAGAGCACCCGTACTTTGGGGTAACTGCAGGAATGTTCGTGCCGTGTGCAAACGACTCATCGGTGTCTACACAAGCATGTTTCATTTCAGACGGTTCTGTGGCGTAGTGCGATGTAGTGGTTAGTGTACGCGCATGCTGACTGAGTGGTCATAAGTTGATTGATTGATATGTGGGGTTTAACGTCCCAAAACCACCACATAATTATAAGAGATGCCGTCGTGGAAGATTGGAAATTTCAACCACCTGGGGTTCTATCATGTGCACCCAAATCTGAGCACACGGGCCAACAGCATTTTCGCCTCCATCGGAAATGCAACCATCGAAAAGCTGATATATATGTATCCCACCTGAAGAGTGGGGTAGGTTGTCCCCCTCCCCCCTACTCTCAAAAGAGTTGGTACGAAAGAGAGAGGAAACATCAATGCTGTCATCACAGCAGCTCACACACAGCCACACAATTTGCCTTGAAAATATCGGCTCAGACGATGACGATTGCCAGATTTATATGCGGAGCTCCAAAGGCTGTCGCCGTGTCCAAACATGTCGGAGATGTCTGCTGAGCTGTCTGGAGCCATATGACAAAGTGGCGCAAGGATGTTTACCCGGCAGCTTCCAGCACTGGCTGCACCGTGGCACTACAGGGGCACTGCTCTGAGATCGCCGACATATTCGGTTGGTACACTGCCTCTCTTGCTCAGATTGTGAGCTGTCTTGGCATCTGGTGACTCTGAGCCACAGGACCGATGCGGCCAACCGAATATGCCATTAAAAAAAAGGAAAAATACACTCCTAGCCCACAAGCAGTGAACAAAATGTGCCCCGAACAATTTTTCGCCATAACACCGACCAAAATAAGAGCAATGAGAAAAAAAAATGCTCTCAGTGAACACAAAGTATCTAATTTCGCAACCCTTCCACCCATGCTTTTTCAGAATGACGCAAGACTGAATCAGCCCCTGGGACAGCGTTCAAGTTGGAATCCTCACAAGTTGCTTTCTGCACTTCGATAAACAACGGCGCAGCACATGCATCCAAATTCACAGAAGGCACCTAACGCGCAAACTGACTTGGTCCGCATGCCGCTGCTGTGTGTGATCCCCGACAAGGCGTTCAGGACAGAGTCTAACAAATTTTGCAACCCCTATGCTGCTTTTTTTACAAAAATGCAAGCCTGAATCAGCCCCCGTGAATACGTTCAAGTTGGAAGTTGCCCTTTGCGCTTCAATAATCGACACAGCACACGTACATCACAGAAGGCACTTAACCCTCTACTGTTGAGTGCCACGAACTCGCGGCACACCGAAAAGCTTTAGGCAAGCAAGTCAAAAAATATATGCCGCCTTTAATGCCGGCTGTCAAGCACTCTCGGGCAACGTAGCTTTCAGCATGAAAAATCTAGCATCGTCTCGTCTAAGGTATTTTATGCTATCATCATCATCATCATCATCATCAGCCTGGCTACGTCCACTGCAGGACAAAGGCCTCTCCCATGTTCCGCCAGTTGACCCGGTCCTGTGCTTGCTGCTGCCAATTTATACCCGCAAACTTCTTAATTTCATCTGCCCACCTAACCTTCTGTCTCCCCCTAACCCGCTTTCCTTCTCTGGGAATCCGGTTAGTTAATGAGGGTGGCGATTTGGGCTTGTTGGTATGGTTGCATGATGATGGATGGTAGCGCAGACAACGAACACGGACAAGAGAAGGCGTTGTGTCTATGTGCCTTCTCTTGTCCGTGTTCGTTGTCTGCGCTACCATCCATCATCCGGTTAGTTACTCTCAATGACCAGCGGTTATCCTGTCTACGTGCTACATGCCCGGCCCATGTCCATTTCCTCTTCTTTATTTAAACTATGATATCCTTAACCCCCGTTTGTCCCCTAATCCACTGCGCTCTCTTCTTGTCTTTCAAGGTTACACCTACCATTTTTCTTTCCATTGCTCGCTGCATCGTCCTCAATTTAAGCTGAACCCTCTTTGTGAGTCTCCAGGTTTCTGCTCCGTAGCTAATTACTGGCAAGATACAGCTGTTATATACCTTCCTCTTAAGGGATAATGGCAATCTACCTGTCATAATTTGAGAGTGCTTGCCGAATGTGCTCCACCCCATTTTTATTCTTCTAGTTACTTCAATCTTGTGGTTAGGCTCTGCAGTTATTACCTGCCCTAAGTAGACATAGTCCTTTACAACTTCAAGTGCACTATTACCTATCTCGAAGCGCTGTTCCTTTCCGAGGTTGTTGTACATTACTTTTGTTTTCTGCAGATTAATTTTAAGACCCACCTTTCTGCTCTCCTTGTGTAACTCCATAATCATGAGTTGCAATTCGTCCCCTGAGTTACCCAGCAATGCAATGTCATCGGCGAAGCGCAGGTTACTAAGGTGTTCTCCATTAACTCTTATCCCTAACTGTTCCCATTCTAGGCTTCTGAAAACCTCTTGTAAGCACGCGGTAAATAGCATTGGGGAGATTGTGTTCCCTGCCTTACACCCTTCTTGATTGGTATTCTGCTGCTTTCTTTATGAAGCACTATGGTAGCAGTTGATCCCCTGTAGATTTCTTCCAGAATGTTTATATATACTTCATATACGCCCTGATTCCACAGTGTCTGCATGACGGCTGATATTTCTATTGAATCAAACGCCTTCTCGTAATCTATGAAGGCTATGTATAGTGGTTAGTTATACTATGAGCATTTCTCTATTACCCGATTGATAGTATGAATGTGGTCAATTGTTGAGTAGCCTGTTCGAAATCCTGCTTGTTCCTTTGGTTGATTGAATTCTAATGTTTTCTTTACTCTGTT